AGCCAAGAACAGCATAGGGATACTGGTGCTAAAATGTTTAGACAGAGGCTTGGTCAGCTGGGGGGAACGGTGAAAAAGGTTTTGAAGTCAGCAAAGAGTTGGGGACAGGATACTCCTCTCTGTGTGTAGATATTCCTTGTCTTATTCCCATACAAGTTCATCATAAATGGAAATCCTGTAAGTCTTAATGCACTGAATCCACTGTGGAACCTCTTGGCTTAGCACCATGCTGCACACTAGAGTGTGGGCTGCTTCCCTCAGTGATGGCAGGGCTGACAGGAGCTGTGGCCCACTGCTAGTGTTCAGCATCATAGGCTGGAATCACACTGCCTGTCTCTAGCATAGCCAATTTCAAATTTCAACTAGGTATGGTGGTAAATACATGTAATCCCAGCACTTGAGAGGTAGAGGCAGGATGATCAGAAGTTCAAGGGTAACCTTGGCTTTATAGTGAGCTTGAAGCAAGCTTGGGCTACATAAGACACTATTTAAAAAAAATTTTTAAAGAAAAAAATGCAAATTTTCTAATTTTTCCTTTTTGGTGGTGCTGAGGATTGAACTCAGGGCATCGCACATGTTAGGAAAGCATTCAGAATGCTCTACCACTGTGCCACATCCCCAGCTCTTAAAACTCTAATTTTGAAACCCAGTTCCTACTGAATACATATTGCTTTCCCTCCAGCATGAAGCTGAGCAGTCGTAAGTCAAACCATCTGCAGTAGTAAACCAGGGTCCATCTGCACTGAAGAAAAGCACTGACAGTTACATATTTCATAGGAAATATTTACTTGGACCCCAAACACCAATTGTCTGCCCAAGGATATTGCACACACGCATGCTTTGCATACTCAACAGGGGGTGGTGGCGTTCCTAAGGAGGTCAGAGGAGTGTTCTTGAAAAAGCCAGGAAAAAAGTCTCATTGTTTTGCTGTATTAAGCACAAACACATATAGAGCACAGAGACAGGTATCAAATAGAGTCATGGTATTACAGTCTCATGGGGGAAATGGTATCTCTAAAGATTGTTTAGGGGACAAACTAAAGCTCAAAAAGAAGCGTGCCAAATGCTACTCAACTGCCACCTTGCTAGTCAAAATCAGATCTAGGCTCTCTGATCCAGACCTTGACTCCTTATTTATCATGTGCCACTGCTGGGTAGAACAAAGGCAAATACAGATGTCTGACCACTCGGTTCTATAAAACACTGAAATTAAAATTTTTCTAAGGAAAGCCAAGGGCTGGAGAAACAGTTCAGTGGGTAAAGTGCTTGCTGTGCAACCACTAAGACCTGAGTTCAGATCCCTAGCACCCATGTAAAAGCCAGACATGGTGGTGTACATCTATAACCCCAGCACTGTGGGGAAGACACAGACAGAATCCTGGAGCTCATTGGCCAGCCAGTCTAGCTGAATGGATAAGCTCCAGGTCCAGTGAGAGATCCTGATTCAAAAAATAAAGTGGGGAGTGATTGAGGAAGACATCCATGTCATCCTCTGGCTTCCACATATGTCCACATGGGGCGATCACATATGCACACATGTGCACACACACATATACATATGTATATATATATATACACACACCATACACACACATGAAAATTCAATTTTTAAATTTATTTTAATATTTTATTTATTTTTATTTTATATGTATGAGTGTATTGACTGCATATGTGTAAGTGCACCCATGTGGTGCAATGCCTGCAGAGGTCAGAAGAAGGCATTGGAGCCCCTGGAACTGGAATTATGGATGGTTGTTAGCTGCCATATGGGTGCTGGGAATTAAACCCAGGACCACTGCAAGAGCAGTCAGCGCTCTTAACCACTGAGCTATCTCGAGCCCCCCAAATTACAATTTTGAAAAGAAATAGGGGCTGGAGAGATGGCTCACTGGTTAAGAACACTGGCTGTTCTTGCAGAAGACCTGGGTTCAGTTCCCAGGACCCACACGGTGGCTAAAAACTGTCCATAACTCCAGTTCCAGGGGCTCCAACCCCCTCTTCTGACCTCCGCAGACATGGTACAAATGCTTCGCTGGATAGGACTTTTAACATATATGACAGAATGCATGAAATCCGGTGGGGGAGAGGGGCCATGGGGGGCAAGGTGTCTAAATTTGATTCAGAACTATTACATGAAATGCACAAGAAAAAAAAATCAATACTAAAAAAAAATTACTAAAAATAGAATATTAAAAAAAAAATACCCCAAAAAACAAACAACTGAGGGCTCTTAACCTCTGAGCCATCTCTCCAGCCCTGAGTTAGGACATTTTTTCCAGTAAAACTGAATGTGGCTGCTATTGGTCAGGGCTTATGGTTCTATCAGTTTATTCCTCTAACTTCCTGAAGTTTTTT